ATGAATTAACTTTGTGAACCAAGGTACCACTGTAACCTAATAATGCCCGTGGGTCCTAGAAAAACAAGAACAATTCAAATTCAAGGCTAGTAGAAGGAGGAAAATTATAAACATCAGAGCTGAAATCAATGAAATTGAGACAAAAAAGCAACACAATCAATGAATTGAAGAGTTTCTTCTTTAAAGAATAAACAAAATAGACAAACCCTTAACCAATCTAACGAAAACAAAAGACCCAAGTCAATATAATTTGAAATGAAAAAACTGAAGTCACAATGGCTACTCATGAAATAAAAAGATTATTAACAATTCTTTTTCAAACCTTTGTTCAATAAATTGGAGACTTCAAAAGATATGGATAGATTTCCAGGTACATATGAAATACCAAAACTGAACCAAAAAATTTTTAAAATCCCAAAGCATCCAATAGCAAACAGTGAAATTGAAGTAGTAACAAAAATCCTACCAAGAAAACTCCGGGGCCGGGGATTTATCTCAGTGGTTTAGTGGCCTGCCTTGCAAGCGCAAGGACCTGAGTTCAATCCTTGGTACCAAAAAAAAAAAAAAAAAAAAAAAAAAAAAGAACACTGAAAAAAAAAAAAAAAAAAAAAAAAAAAAAAGAAAACCCCAGGTCTAGATGATTCTACAAAAATTTCAGGTAAAATCGAACATCTATGCTCCTCAAGCTCTTTATTGAAATTGAAAGGGAAGGAGTAGTCCCAAAGTCATTCCTGGACACTAGCATGATTCCCAAAGCAGACAAGGATCCAACTAAAAAAGCAGAACTTTAATTATATAATATAGATGCAAAAATACTGATCAAGGAACTATCAAGCTGAATGTAAAAACTCATCTTAAGATCCTACATTATTACCATCATTAGGCTTCATCCAGGGATGCAAAAATGGCTCAATATACAGAAATTAATAAATGTCATACATCACTTAAAGAAGCAAGGGTAAAAAATCACATGATCATCTCAATAGATGCAGAAAAAGCCTTTGACAGAGTCAAACCTCCTGTCATGATAAAAAAACACTGAATAAAATAGGTATAGAAAGACCTTATCTCAATTTGATAAAAGCTGTTTATGAGAAACCTAGTCCCCACATCATATTAAATGTGGAAAAACTGAAAACATTTTATTTAAAATCAGGAACAATACAAAGATCTCCACTAGGACCACTCCTTTTCAATATAGTACTTGAAACATTAAAAAATTAGAAAAAAAGATAAGAGATATGTATAATAAAAGAAAAACTCAAATTATTATTGTTTGCAGGTGGCATGATTGTTTACGTAAAAGATGCTCCCAGATCCACCAAAAGACTCTTAAAATTAGTATCAAAATTCAGTAATGTAACAGAATACAAAATCAACACACAAAAGTCAACAGCATTTATGTACATCAGTAAACCCACTGAGAAAAAAATTAGGAAAAAAATACCTTTCAGAATAGCACCAAGAAAAAAAATTTTTTTTTTTTTTGGTACCAGGGATTGAACTCAGGTCCTTGCACTTGCAAGGCAGGCCACCGAACTGTTGAGCTAAATCCCCAGCCCACACCAAGAAAATTTAATTACTTATGACTTAATCTAACTAAAGAACTAGAAGACCTCTACAATGAAAACTACAGTACTCTTAAAAAGGAAATTGAAGAGGACATCAGAAAATAGAAAGCTAGCTACTGTTCCTGGATAGGCAGAACAAATTTAGTCAAAATGGCATACATCCAAAATTGGTATACAGATTTAGTATAATGTCAATCAAAATTCCAACAGCATTCTTCACAGAACTGAAAGAAACCATCCTAAAATTCATATGGGAACCAGAAGAGACCCAAAATAGCAACCACCATCCAGGGTAATAAGAGGAAACTGGGAGGCATCACAATCCTGGACCTGAGGTTGTATTACAAAGCTACAGTAATAAAAACAGCATGGTATCAGCAGAAAAGCATATGAGAATCAGAATAGAAGATGCAAAAAGAAAATCTCAAGCATATTCAACTATTTGGTCTTTGACAAAGGAGTCAAAAAACATACAACAGAGGAACGATAGCTTCTTTAATAAATGATGTTGGGTTAACAGCCTATCCACATGTATAAGATTAAATCCAGACTCATATCTCTAACCATACTAACTAAAATAAAAATGGATCAAAGAACTAAATGTTAAAACAGTAACAATCTTCTGAAAGATAAAATAGGTAAAACTTGTGAAGTCATAGGAGTAAGAAAGTAAGAGAGCCCTGTTTACACAGAAAAAAGTACCAAGAATCAACAAACGGGATCATATTTGCACAGCAAAAGAAACAATGAGCAGAGTGAAGAGACAGCCTACAGAATGGGAAAAAACTTGCCAGTTATTCCTTGGACAGAGAACTGATGTATAGAATATATAAAGAACTCATGAAAATGGACTCCTCAAAATAAAAGAACCAATCAAATAATGGGTAAGTGAAATGAATAATAACTTCACAGAAGAAGTATAAATGGCTAGTAAATACAAGAAGAAAATTTTCAACATCACTGGCCACTAGAGAAATGTAAATTAAAACAATATTGATACTTTATCTCATCCCATACAGAGTGGCCATCTTCAAAAAATCAAATAATAGCAAATGCTGGTGGTGCTATAACAGGACAAAATAAACCCTTCTACCTTGGTGGGAATGAGAACTAGTACAAGTAGTATGGAAATCAGTTTGGAGATTCCTCATAAAGATTACAACAAAATATTTCATTCAACACACTTATTCCTCTTCTAGGAATTTTCCTAGAATAATTAAAAACATCATATTACAATGATACATTCATACCCATGCTTATAACAACACTATTTTTTTTATTTTTAAGTTTATTTTATTTTATTTGTACCAGAAACCAAATTTGGGACCTTGCACTTGTGAGGCAGGCAGCAGAACCACTTGGATAAATCACTGGCCCTAGCAGCACTATTCATAATAGCTAAATATTGGAAGCAGCCTCTATGTCCATCAACAGATAAATGAATAAAGAAAATGTAGAATTTACACACAATGGAGCACTACTCCACCATAAAGCCATTTTTTGCAGGATAATAGATGTACCTGGAGAAGTCAATAAATCAATAAAATAAATCAAACACACAAACTTAAATATTGCATGGTTTTTCATATGAGAAAAATTATAAGTAAAGTGAAGAATAAAATGTAGATAACAGGAAGCTATAGATAGTAGGAAGTTATATCTTTCTCAAATGGGAAAGGGGTCAAGAGATGGAGATGGGTAGGGAAAGGGAATGAAAAAAGGAATTAAGACCTATGTAAATGTATCAACTCCATACAATGTATGTAGACATCATGTCCTGCAAACAGTAGAAATAAAAAAATACAAGAATTCTCCATGGAAGTTTAACAAGATCCAGATGCTTGTAGTATTAAAGTGTCCAGCATCAATCCAAGACTAGATTGCATGCAAAGAGCCACGAGCCTCTCCACTTTCATAAAAAAAGGCTGTCAGCAAGTGCATATGCTGAGGTGACACAAGTGGGAAACTTCCAAGTCCCTGCGATAACAGTGCTCTTTGAAATGGTTAGAAATGTGGATATCAACAAAGAGAAGACATCAAGGAGAACTAAGTGAAAATTAGAAGTCTAGTAAATGAAATAAAATACACACAAGTTCAATCCCTGGTACCAAATAAATAATTAAATAAATGGAAACAAAGAAAGGATGTGATACAAGAAGAAAACATTAAACATCAAAAAATGTGCAAGGCAGGCCAGGGATTTAGCTCAGCAGTTCAGTGGCTTGCCTTGCAAGCACAAGGACTCGAGTTCAATCCCCGGTACCAAAACAAAACAAAACAAAAAACCCAAAAAATGTGCCAGGTGAGGTGGTACATACCTGTAAACCCAGCACTTGGGAGGCTGAGGCAGGATGATGACCATGAGTTCAAAGCCACCCTGGGTTACATAGTGAATTCAAGGCCAGTCTGAACTACATAGTGAGACTTCTTTGCTCACCTTGCCATCCTAATCAACATAAGACTCTCATCAGCATAAAATCATCAAGATTTTAGGATTATCACTGCCATCTGAGTCATCTGTTACTCCATATGTACCTAATAAAGAATGGCAAGCTAGGGGTGCCTTTGTCTTTGTTGCCCAGAGCAGCATTAATCAGTCCCAAAGCTCAGCTTCTTCTCCAAGTCTCATTTCCTCTTTATTCATTAGTTTGCCTTGTGCTATTGTGGCTCACAGGAGATTATGACCCACTGCAGGGGTTCTGGTAATCTCCTTTTTCCCTGTTCTCTACATGTATTCCCTGTATATATTTGGGTACCCAATTGCTGTCAGGGAATTTGGAGAATTGGTTGTTGAAAAAATCTACATATTTTTTGTCAGAATTGCTAGGAGTAAAATCAACAGAAGTAAAGGGAGCTACATAGCAGTTAATATTTTCAATTTAATTTGAAATATAGACTATTAAATCTAAGTCAACTATGAAAAGTTAACTACATATAGTGTAATACCTCAAGCACTACTTTCAGACTATACAGAGAGACAAAGGAATGAGTGAATGAATAAAAATAAAATACTAGAATGTGTTTAAATAATCCAAAAGAAGATAGGAAAGGGGAAATAATGAAAATCAGAAAGCAAAACAAATTACAAATAGTAAAGCAAAAATATATCGATAATTACATTGAATAGGGGATCTGTGATCATTAATTGTAATGTGTCAGCTTGAATGGATTAAGAAATGCCCAATTACTGAAACACATTTCTGGGTGTATGGGTGAATGATTCACATATAGGATGCAAATAGAGTAGGCAATGAACAATAGACTTTTGGCTTGGGTGGAATAAAAAGGAAGACAAGAAGAAAACCTTCCCTTGTTTGCTTCTTTGCAGGAGCTGTGGTCTTCACCATTCTCTTTGAACATTCATCTCCACTTCCTTTAGGCTTCTAGCAGACTATTTAGCTATTCAAAACCAGATCTTCCAGCTTTGACATGCACTTGCACTGAACTCTGTGGTAAGCTTCAACTTTTGATTGATTTTATAAAATTTTCCTGTATTGAACTCTTAACTGGTACAGATTTTGGTACTAGAGAAGCAGGGCCATCACTGTGACTGTACTTGACTGTGTGGTTTAGATTCATTTGGAACCAGTTTTTAGGATGATTTTAGAAAGATTTGGAGATACTGGTTGGGAAGACCCTAGAATGATGTGAGTCAAACTTTTCCCCTCCCACCCCAGTACTGGGGATTGAACTCAGGACCTTGTGTTTGCAAGGAAAGTGCAGCACCACTGAGCTAAATCTCTGGCCTGTGAGCCAAGCTTGATGGGAGATTCTGGTCAGAGCTCAGAAGACCAGAATGATGATAAAATTGACAGTAAAGGAAATCCAGGTTCAGGATGTTTAAGTTGAAAACAAGGATTCCATTGGCATTGGAACTACAGGCCATATGTGTTATGTTCTGGTGGAAAGTTTGTTTGCATTTTGGTCATGTCCTGAGACTGTGGGAGATGGAGAGAGTGGTAGATTAATCTGGGGGAGGAAATTTCAAGGCAGCTCAACATTCAGGATGTGGCATAAGTACTATTTGGGGCTTTTAGCTAGCACTTCACTGGGAATCGAGCAAATGGCACAAGTGAGTGTTTGAGAAATTTTTAGTTTCTCCAGAAAAGAAGCTCCTGTGAAGTTTGATCCTGTACAGTTGGGGAATAGAGACTGATTGCTGAAAAGATAAGCATTAAAAAGAAGCCAAGCACTTTACAATAGAACAATAAGAATAATGCCTTGAGGGCACGTTAGGAACGGGAAAGGCTCTTTCTTCACAAGCTCAAAATTGAACAGTGAAATAGTTTGATTTTTGAAGAGGCCCCATGGTACCTTGCTGAGAAGGGCTGTCTACAGAAATTTTTTCCCTGGGATTTGCTTGAGAGTGCTCAACTATGTAGACACTCAGAGGCTTCTGCAGCTGCAACTCAAAGAGATATGGCAACTATTGGAGTTGGTAGCAGACCTTGATCTCAGCCATGTGGTTCTGGTATTATAGGCATGCAGATTCCAAGATTTGTGAAGCCAAGAATGCTCACACACAGATTTCAGAAGGCTGGGGAGGCCAGGCAGTGTGCACTTGAGAGAGCAGAGCATGAAGCTTTGAGAGTGAGCCAGAAGTCTTTCAGAAAACCCAAGAAGTTGAAGAAGCAAGGAACATGGAATGTTTGAGGAAAGCCAAAAGGAGTGAGCAAAACCTGCCCCAGAAAGGATCCATATATCTACCAGCAGTGCCATAGGGTTGGGGCCACTGAAGCCCTTTGGAATTCATAGCTCATGGCCGCAATGTGCCTTGGGTGCTGGATACAGAGCTACAGGATTTAATGTTTGTCCTGTAGAGTTTCAGTCTTGCTTTGATCCCATAGGGAATTTTTATCTTGTGATATTTTATGTTGGAAGTGTTTAATTTCTTTTTGGCTCACAGCTAAGAGTTGCCTTAAGTCTCAGAGAAGACTTTGAGGTTGGACTTTTCAGCAATGCTGGAACTATTAGGACTTTGGCAACTCTTAAGAGATGGGATAAATGCATTTTTGCATAAGGGATATGCATTAGTCTTTCAGGAGCCAGGGACAGAATGTTATGGTATATGTATGTGTGGTGGATTAACTAATGTTCAACTTGGAATGCCCAGCTGAACTGAGTCAGTGTAGTTCTGGGTGTTGAAGACCCACCTGAGAATTGTTGCTAATAGCATAAAAAGAGAACTGGAGGGAAAGATTGTGTGCTGTCTATTTTCCTGGGAAGGCTTGCTGTGGCTGGTTTTCTTGATACGAACTTGGCTGTTCTTCTTATCAGAGGAACTCAGGTCCTCAGTGTTGCTGGGAATGACTCCTGTTCTTATCAGGGGAGTTCTGGTCTTCCTCTTGAGCATTGCTTCCTGGTTCCAGTCCAGATCCCTCAGCCTGGTGGCGTGGACTCTTTACCCTGCTGGTAAGGCTTTCCAGCTTCCACCGCTCATCTTTGAGCCTTCGTGGTGCAGGTCCTTGATATGGACTTGCATGAGACATTGCTGTGGGGTTTAGGCCTTTGGTTGGACTTGTGGAGGACATTACCTTGGGTTCTATGCCTTTAACTAGACTTATGTGGGACATTGCTGGGAGATCCAGGCCCTTGGCTGGATTCTTTGGGTCTCTAGTGAGTGGACAGATTTATTGCACTCATATGCATTAGACTTTTTCTGGTGAATATTATGAAATAATCCTATAAAGTATATCTCCTGTATTAAATCTATTCCTTTGCAAACCCTGACTACAACAATATGGATGCCCCCATTGCCTAAAGACTCATGCCTTAGGAGTAGGGTTTGTGGCAGATGATTATATTATGAGGTCTTGGTGTTAGGAGGTGAGGTGTGGTCAGAAGAGGTGGGTCACTAGATGTATGATCTGGAATGGGTTGTCTCCTTCTTTGGCTCCACCCTTCTGCCTTCTCTGTTGCCCAGCTGCCATGCCATGACCAGGTATCTTTTACCCAGGTCCTTTCACCATGCCACTTTTGCTTCAAGTCAGATGAGCATACAAGATCTGAAACCTTTACAAACATTGAGCCAAAATAAACCTCTCCTCCTTTAAGTTGCAAGGCAATTGTTGGATATTGTGTATCAGTGATAAGGAAAGAGACTAAAACATGGTTTAAACACCCCAATTAAGAGACTATATGGAAATATATTTTTAAAAAGAGAAAACCTAGCTCCATTCAGTCTATATGGAACTATCCTGGATTATAATAATATAGATAAAAGTAAAGAGTTGGAATTCACACTTTTTTATCCATCATGTATTTTACTCTAAAATACTCAAAGGAAAAACTAGCAGAAATGAAAAATGAAGTAGATAATTCAACAATAATAGCTGGAAATTTCAATCTCTTACTTTCAATAATTGATAGAGCAACTAGGCAGAAAAGCAACAAGGAATTAGAAGATTTTGAACAGCGGTGTAAACCAACTGTGCCTAACAAACACCTATAAAACAATGCATGAATAAAACAGAAAGCAGAACATACATTTATTGCAAGGGCATACAGAGTCTACCTCAGGATAAATCATGAGTTAGGCTCAAATCAAATTTCAATCAATTTAGAAAGATAGAAATAATATAAATTTGTTTTTAAGCCACTTTTGAATAAAATTAGAAAATAAAAGCAGGAAATTTTGGGGAAATTCATTAATATGTAGAAATTTTAAAATATCCTTCTAAACAATCAATGAGCCAGCTAGAATTCTGAAGGGGAAATCAAAAAAATACTTTGAAATGGATGCAAATGAAGATACAATATACTGAACTGTAAGGGATACAGCTACAGTAGGGCTTACAGAGAAATTTATGGCTCAGCTCCTGTGTTAGGAAAAAAGAAAGATCTAAAATAAATGATTTAATATTCTACTTTAAGATGCAGGGGGAAAAAAGAAAGTTAAACCTGAAGCAGTATGACAGAATAATAAAACTTGGAGTGGAAACTATTGAAATAGAGAATAGAAAAACAATACAGAATATCAGTACAATTAAAAACTTTCTTTGCAGAAAATCCCAACAAAACAAAATAAGCCTACAGTTAGATTTAACAAGAAAACAAGACTCAAATTACCAGTTAGAAAGAAAGGCGGGGAGAGAGGATATTACTTCGGACCATATAGAAATGCTATGGCAGCAAATGCACAACAACAAATTAGATAATGTAGATCAAATGGAGAAGTTCCTAAAAAGATTATGTTACTAAAATTGATTTGAGAAAAAAAGAAAATCTAAATAGACTTATAGTAAGTTAAGACATTACATTGTTAACCAAAAATCTCTCCACAAAGAAAAAGCCCTATGTGAAACAGCTTCATCACTGATTTCTACTATTATATCCTGAAACTGTAAAACACAGTAAAAGAAATTTTAAAAGATATGAATGAAAGAGAATACATTCTATTTTCATGAATTAGAAAACCTAATATTGTTAAAATGAGAGTTCTCCACAAGTTATTCTGATTTATCACAATCCCTAACAGAATCTCAATTATTTTTCTGTAGAAATTGACAGGTTGATTCTAAAATTTATAAGGACTTGCAAGGAATTCAGAATAGTGACTGTTTTGAAAATAAAGAACAAAGAAGGAAGAGTCATACTTCCTTATTTAAAAATTTATCAAAGTGCAATTCTAATCAAGAATAGAATGATACCAACACAAAAGAAATACAATAGAGGATCCAAAAGTCAGTCAGTACATCTATGGCCAACTGATATTTGACAGATGGGTCAAGACCATTTCTTGGGGGAAAGAATAATCTTTTCAACAAATGATGCTGGGCCAAATGGGTAGACCTATACCAAATGATAAAATTTGTTTTTACCACACCTGTATAAAAAAATTAACTCAAAAATGGATTAAAGACCTAAATATGAGATCCAAAATGAAGATTCTTAGACTAAATCATGGGTATAAATCATGACCTTGGATTTGACAAAGAATTTTTAGATAATTTAGTAAAATTCCTGAAGAATAAAAGGAAAAACATAAATTTGGCTTCATCAAATTTACGACTTTATTTCATTGAAAAAATACCATCAAGAAAGTGAAATGATGCTGGGGATTTAGCTCAGCGGTTCGGTGGCCTGCCTTGCAAGCGCAAGGACCCGAGTTCAATCCCTGGCACACACACAAAAAAAAAAAAAAAGAAAGAAAAGAAAGTGAAATGACAACCTACAGGAGGAAATACTTAAAAATCAAATAAAAAGTTGTACCTATAATATATAAAGAACTTGTATCAATGATAATAATAATAATAATAATATCCAAATAACAATTAAAGTGGGTAAAGATCAGAATGGATTTACATGAGAAAGATATACAAATAGCCATTAGTCGCATGAAAAGAAGGGTGGATATTATGAGTTGGCAGGGAAATGCAAGTGAAAATCACCATGAGAAATTGCTTCCCATCCACTGATATGACTACAATGAAGAGGTCAGCATTGTTGCTGA